CGGTGATTCGTATATTGCTTTGAGATTGGGAGCGAGTGCTGGCTGTTTCTGGTCGAGTAGTATTATCACCTGGAGGTTTGTAGAATATATTTGAATAAGAGTTTAGCGAAGATATAGATTCAGAGTAGGAACTCGTGCGGTGACCGCTGCCAAAGTCGGCAAACGGATTGGGTCTGCGTGGTTGGTCCCTGTCGGGTGGAGGAGACACTGTAGACGCCATGGATATGTTGGGCTGTCGAGCAGGAGAGCTACTTTTTAGGTTTCTTGATGCCTGAAACGTGGAAGATGGTGCCAACGGATCAGGGGACGATGGCTTCTTGACGCGAGGAGGAGGAGGCAAAGACTGCGATAATGTAGACGAGTTCGCTGAGCTCGAGCGTGACCTGGACTGAGACCTGGCGATGTAGCGGTCGAACGACAAGTTGGAGGTCGTAGCCATTGGCGTCGACGAAGTATCCTAATTTTCCTTTTCAGGATTTAATCCGAAGTTATGTCCTGCAGCGTTCGCCAGCACGCTTACCCAGAAAACACCCAGAGAAAAAGGTTTCTCAGAACCCTGCAACAAACATGCACTGTTTAAATCTTCTCGCTGTCCGGTTCAAGTTCAAGGTTTGGCAACGGGCGCGGCAAGGCGCTGAAGCAGTAAACTCAGCGTGGTGCCTGCATATGCCCGTATGGGCTATAGGCAGTCAAAACAATGACATCTCAAGTAACAGTTCAGCAGTTAAACAGTGGGAATATTTATCAGGAATGACATGCGGGATGTAACCAAATGCGTCCAAGAAAGGAGACAAAGAACCATGGATGAGAAGACGTATAACACAAGAACATCAGACAACACTTCTCACGTCCTAGAGGACAACCAGGTCTCCCCGACAGCAACTACACCAAAAGACGTGCGAGTCGTCTAAAAATTGTGGCCGTCTTCGTTCTATTCGTGGCACGACGATATGCGAACTCGACCCAGACGGACCGGGGTCTGCCTTGAGCGGCATCTTCTCATCTGCCTCGGTCTCGGTTTCTTCTTCCTGCATTGGGTGTAATGAAGATGATAGATTGCGCGCAAGGGAGGGTCGTGGAGAAGCTCCCAACCCGCCAGCAGAATGAGACAAGGCGGCCTCGCCATCTATTCGAGCGCGAAGCATACTCAAACTGATTTTGCGCTTGTGCCGGACGTCAGGGGGAAGGGCGGAGTCCAATGGAGTTTCCAGCGGAAGATCTTTATGTGACAATGCCGGTGATTGGAACGTCGGCGTCACTTGATGTGGTCGAGACGTCCTGCGGAGTCTATGCAGCTCCTCCTCCAGCGAATTGACTTGCTTTCTGAGATTGTGTGCCTTGGCCTGCTCCTGGAATATTGTCGTCTCCAGGTTCCGGATTCTAGATCTTGCCTGTGATAATTCAAATGTTCCATCGGACTCGAACATCTCATTATCCAGAGACGGGTTCCGCTGATGACCGCGTTGAGGTTTTGTATTCGTGTGCGCAGCTTCAGCCTTTAGCTGTTCAATCTCCTCCTCTTTCGACAGCACTTCGTTGCGTAATGCTTCTACTTCGGCATTGGCCCGCTGGACAACGGCGTGCGATTCTTCCAGGATGTTTGCATCTTGCTCCCGGGCATTTTGAGAGGCGGCAAAGTCATCTTGTAATGTCGTGTACTGAGCTCGCAGATCGGCAAGTTCGGCATCCAGCTTATCCATCTCGATTTGATATCGTTCGACGGCTTGTCTGTGAATTCCCCTTTCTGTTTCGAGGTCTTTCACACTCGTGACAGTCCTCTGCAGTTCGGCCTCGGTTTGAGACAGCGCCTGTTGTAGACGCTCCATGTCTTGGTCCATGGCATCTCGTTCTGCCTCTAATGACCCTTCCAACTTTGCCTTCTCGCCCTCTAACGTCTCGCAGCGTGCCCGCAACTCTTCGATGGTCACTTCCAAATCCGACACGGCTTTCTCGTGGACGTGACGATCCTCCTCAAGCTTCTCGATCGCCTCTGTCAGATTCAGCTTTTCCTCAGTGAGCTGCATCAACCGGGGTCGCATCTCGTTCAACGACGCCATCAGTCCCACATTCTCATTTTGCAGATTTTTGTGGGCGGCCTCTGCCTCATCAGCATGCTTTTTAGCGGCTGCGAGTTCGTTTTGGAGTGCTTTGAGTTTCTTTTCTTGCATGGTCGATTTACCGCCTTCTACCGAAATCTTGCGGGTGAGTTCGTCCACTGTGCTAGCATGCTTTTTAGCCTCCTTGATGAGAGCTTCGTGAGCTGACCGCAAGGAATCTAGCTCTGCGCTAAGACTGTCAATTTTCGCCTTGGATTCGTCGACAATCGCATGGAGCGACTGATGTTCCGATCTCAGCTTCTCCTCTTCAGCCTTGAGACTGTTCAACTTGGCAATAGCCTCGTCCTTTTCTGATTTGGATTGGATCACTGACTGGAATTCTGTTGTAAGCCATGTTTATTAACAGCACATGTACCATACCTGCTTCGTTCGTGCCAGCTGTGTCTCCAACGATTGAGATCTTTCTTCTGAGCTCTTGAGCGATGCTTGTAATCGTTCAACTCGGTCATCTGCTTGTATTTGCTCCTGCAAATCGCGCAGTTTGGTTTCTAGCTGATCCGCTCTCTTCCTCATGTCTTCTGCCTCCTTTCGCGACAACTCTAGATCTCTCTCCTGTTTGATTATCAGCAAGGCATACTGTTATCACGTTGTGGACATACCTTTTGTCGTAGAGCCTCTACGGAAGCCTTATCCTTTGTCGTGAATTGTTCGTTTTGTTTTTGGACGCGTGATAATTCGATTTCTAGGTCCCTAGAACGTCCCTCTAGTGTTTGTGCAGCTCTTTTACTCGCTTCTAATTGACCAGCGACAGAACCATATTCTACGGAAATTCATCAGCGTTGACGTTCCAGCACACATTAATGACCCCATACTTTCGTCTAGGCCTTCTAACCTCTCCAAAGCCGCCGCAAGAGATGCTTTTTCCGATACTAAAAGCGAAATGGTTTGCTGTTGATTTTGGACCAGCCTTTGCAGTGGTGATTCATCGACAGAGGGTGAGGATATTGGTGACCGTGTTCGCACCAATGCTGCATATGGGTCGTGTCCATTTGAACGAGAGTCTCTCCTGAATGCAGATAAACGAGTTAGCAGAGCGCATCTCTTCTAAACACGTCTTCCTTACCGTGATTCTGTCGACGCTTGCCGTTCGTGATTGGTGGGTCCGCTAGAAGGTTCTTCCTCCTTGAGATTTACAGTATTTACGGCGGGAGAAGCGGGCGTCGGTGTTCCCACTGAGGGTGAGTATGTGGATCCTGGTGGACTGGGGTGCGCTTGTGTTGAAGCCTCTGTTGAATTTGCGCCAGGAGTAGGGGCTTTGTTTGCACGCCTCTTGTTTAGCTAGAATATAGTGTTAGTTGAGTGTATGTGCTCAACTCGGTTCCTTGCTTGCGTACCAACGCCTTTGCACGTGCTGCTTTGGCAGCTCGATCGTCTTCCATGAATACTCGTAATCAGATAACAAGGTGTATCTGTGTTGGGGAGCTGGCTTTTGCTCGCTGTGGCTGAAAAGCGAATTAAATACGACAGAGGGGTTGCGTCGAGACTAGACGAGACTTTGTTGCCCAGAGTTCTCTAACGGAAAGCCACCCCATTGTGGGGTTCTACGCAGAATAAATCGCAGTGACCAGATCGAAAACGGGCTCCGCATTCTCTACTTTGGATAGAGTATACGCATATACTGTTAGGAGGCTCGGCAGGGTTGAAAGTCGCATTCCACCCAGGACGAATTTCCTGAAGCTCAACCAATGCACTCTGACACACTCGATGTTTCTGTATTTTATCAAAGAGAAAGCACTTCTTTGCAGCATTCTCGCAGATATGGAGGCCATTGCGGTCAACCTATTAATATACGTTGTTCCGATTGTCGCCTTAGCGTCCATTTTCGGGGTCAGGAGTAACCAGGCATAAATAGCGTTACTATTTTCTGGAACTCCTGAGCGGAATAAGAAAGGATTTAACCCTCTGAAGACTAGCAGCCGAGCTCTACATTACTCCTCACTCCGTTGCTATTCGTACGACACGCTGCGGGCCATCATTCGACTAGTTCTCACCACCGAAACGGACGCTTGTAGAGAGTTTGATAGCTATCAGCGTGCTACGAATAGTGCTATAGATCGGAAAAGACTTCATTTGCCATTAGTTTAACAGTCTATTAAAGATAAAACGACTAGACTGGCCGTGGCACGTTTGCCAAGTGACGGGAAGCAGCAAGGGCAACCCAGCTTGGACGCAACCCCTTCCCTCTCTTGCCAGGTGCAAACCTTTACACAGACTCGTCACTCCTTTGACGAATTCCAATCTTTATCAATATGGCTTCTTGACGCGAGGAGGAGGAGGCAAAGACTGCGATAATGTAGACGAGTTCGCTGAGCTCGAGCGTGACCTG